TAAAGATTAATATGAAATCAAAATTTCAATAAAATCAATATTATTTGGAGATCAATGATCTTATTTTCTTCCAATATTTTTCATTCTTCGTTTTATCATCATTAAATGAAAAATCACACTCATAGTTAATGACTTTGAATCAAAGTTTTATTGGCCAACGATTATATCTTTGTATTGTTTCCTATCGAAGAACCAGGACCAATTTCCTTCGTTTCTATTTATGAACGGGATAATCCAACGTATACTCGAAACTTTGCAAATGTGAGCTTCCAATAGTGCTTCCATTATTAAACTTCATTGTCGAAGATTTATACTAAATCGTGTTCGATGTTTATTCTCGATTTGGAAATCTTTTGTCGAACATCTGAACATCGGGAATACATTTGAAAATAAAATTTTCGAGAAGTTCGTTTTCGAAGTAGTAATTTTCACAGATGATTTTCAACTTAATCAAGAGCAAATTTTGAATTATAAAAATGTAGATACATTGAAGAAAAAATTTTCGAGAGTTGTTTTTCATAAGCGAACACTGAAAGAATGAATGATTCTTGAGAAGGACTCAGCAAGCAGTAACTTTTACTTTCAATGTAGTATTCGTTAATGGAAAATAATTCAAAAGCAACATTTGAGAGTTTTATTCTTAAATATATTTATATCGTAGTTTTCATTCACAGTCAGCGGAGTCAAACAAAGTTTAGTATGTTCTGTTCATAAATTTGAGAAATGCTTTTTATTTTTTTGCAAAATATAATAAATTTATCGTAATATCTATATTTCCCCCAGATATTAATAAATCTTTAATACTTTTTTAATCGAATATTTGTTTATAGTGCTCTCTCGGCGACTTTTTAAAATTTATTTTCCCAAAAACGAAACCACGAACAAAACGCTTTATTGCGTGTTTTTCAATTTGTTTTCACACGAGAAATTCTCCCTTGTTTGGTCGGACATGTTATGTTATAAAATGATATATCGCACTGCGTAATGTATACGTGTAATTTTGGTAAATAAAGTTTAAACTATTACACGAGATAACGGTGAAATAAAAATTGAAACGATATTTCAAGTCGATATTTCATAATATTTCATACTAATTTTCTCTTTCTTTTTGCATATATTCTCGTATACTGTAACAAAGACAAAATGAAAGCAATTCTTCAAGCTCCAAACATAGATAATATTATAAGATTATTATGATCGATCAGAAATTGAATCAGTAGAAATTCTTTTAAAACGATCATCTCAATTATTTTGCTATCACCAATTCTCTCTTCGCATAAATCATAAATTTAACTTTTCCTTAATCACAGTCTCCCTCGAGTGGTTATATTTTCTCCATCATTACTTTCTTCTTATAAATGACTATTAGTTACGTATTTCTTGAACTAAAATTTCAACATCCACATCTACGATATCACGCATAAATTTATTTAATCTCACGAATCCAAACTTTCTCAAATTCAATATTTTCACGCGATAAAAAAAAAAAATAACGAAAAGATCGATATTTCAAGCTGAGTTTCGATTACATATTCTCGGTGGCCAGAAATTTGCAAAGAGTGGCCGTCTCCGAAGGGAAAGTGTAATCGTGCAAACACACGGTCGAGGATCGCGCGTGGCCAAGTTGATGGCCACTCCAAGCGAGAGAAACGTTCGAAAATCCCTGAGAAACTCGAGCGAGGGAATTGCGAAAGCGTGAAAGGTACGGGTCAACCGCTCTGAATTTTCCGGATCGTCGCTACGTTTTCATTCCTCCGGAACTCGGGGCTCTGAAAAGCGAAATATATTCCAAGCGTCGTCAAAGTTTCCTGGACAATAAAGAAATCAAAATGGTGGGGGAGTTGCAAGGAAAAGACACGAAACGTGCACGTGTATATGTGTATGCGCGCGAAGGAACCGAATTGTTCGGGATCTTTGACCCGTGTATAATCCGTAGGTAAAGCACCGAAAGAGAGTAATCGGCGCCCAGGCTTTGCGACACAAAAAAAGAATAATTATAAATATATGGCTGCGCTCTTTTTCCAACTGCTGGATATTCTTTCGATGCCCGTTTCAGTTCGCGTGTCAATAAGCTTTCGCTTCGAGATATGAAAGAGCTATCAACGGTCCGACTGGAAAGTAATTTTTTGTCGCATACGTTGCTTCCTTAATGGAAAGTGCGATTGAGTATAATAAATGAATCGAGATGATTTTCTGTATGTTTCGTTCGTAGCTCGAACCAGCTTAAGCATTTTAGACAGTAAGATTTCTCTGTACAACATTCCGCGTAACTCTATAAACCCAAACTGAAAAGAAAAATAGTAACTATTTTCCTTTTTTAAAAATTCCACTCAAACCAAAATACCAGCCCCATTCACACCAGTCCCGATTTTTGCATGTATAAAAATCGTGAACGTGAAATCCATTTCCTCTGAAACTGGCAACTAAAACCCATCGTGCATTACAAAACGAAATAACTTTTCTGCTACTACTTTTACGATTTCCAACACATCTGAACGATACTGGCAACGAGAATAGCACGAAGCAAAATCGATATTTAAAAAAAGGAGAAGAATTTTAAAAAAAACGATTAGATAAAACTCCAAAGAATAATCACGTGTTATTTTCTTCGTAACCATATCCAAATCCAATATCCAAAATTTCTACTTTACATTAAAAAGAAGAATCTTGGAGATAAGAACAACACTTGATCGTTAATATCCCACAATCTTAAGACGAAACGAAGCCCATCGTTAACTCGTCTTCTCTCGATTCACTCTCCTCGGAATTATGGATGCGTTCCACCTTTTAGAAACACGAGGGCTCCCATGCTATAAACGCAATTCACCCTCCATCCACCCCTCCCCTCCTCAGGAGCAGAATATACGAGCCGACCCGTCTCTCCACGTCGAAGTTGGCAACAGCATCTGGAGCGTTAAGACGAATGAGCGATGTGCCGGTGTCTTGCGGTATGATGGATCGCCCAATACCAGCCAATATGCAGTATTGCGCGCGGAGTGTGGCAAACTGGTATCCATGCATCAAATCGGCGCTCAGACGGGAAGCGAGCGGTCTGCGCGCGTTTACAGGATACGGTGTAACAACGCGCCGTGTTGTGTTCACCAGCTTCTCGTGGTCAGGTTCTTGTCCACCCATCCCCATGGCCACCCTCGAGGGCGTGCTTTAGGGCGGCCATACGGCGCTTACCCTGCTATACCGGATACGCATCCACAATTTTCCGTTCGCCATTCGTAACCCATCGGTGAATCGATGTTACGTGCACCCAAACTGGTCGAGAAATCGTAGATGTCGCGTGTATCGAGGGAGGATGGCGTGTCTTGCAGGATAATTACGCGGTTGTGTCGCGTAATAGCTTGGTTCGATGAAAGATTTTGCTTTTGTTTTTCTTTCCTTTTTCCTTTCCTTTTTCTTTTTTTCTTTTGAGCAAATTAAGCGGTTTAAGGAATCGAACGACGGTCATGTTTTTCGTGGTTTTGTAGTTCCAACGCGAGGAACTTTATTCGAGGAAGGATGGTAATGTTAGTTGAAAAATTTTTAACGTTTCTTGGACAATGAGTTTTGGAAAGTTTTTTCATTGGTATGATGATTTGTGCCATGTTTCCGATCGTCTATTTTCGATATTTAACTCGTACTCGAAGTGTAGTTAAAAGTAAAGTTGGAAAGTGGCTTATGTTTTGGCTAAGAATTAGAATTAAGAATTATCGTGGAAAGCGTTAATAGTGAAAGCTTCTTCAAATAATATCGAGTTAAATTATTTTTTAAAATTTGTATCGAATGATCTACAATTGCAAATAGTCAATTCAACGAGTGTTGTTATTTGATTATACAAAGTTTTTGCTTAACTATTCTTCCTTTCATTGTAAATTAAATATGACCGTTACAGACGATTCTCATCATTAAAAATTTCGTTATTTATAAATATCTAAACGAAGTACCTTGCGACGATTCAATACACGTTTCCTCATCAACACTCTACAAACTTTCATAAATTTCACATTAATTGTACACTGCATCTGCAAATAAAACTTTCAAGCTCCGAACCTATAACTCGTCACACATCGATATTACTGTTATAATGATTAAAATTACTAAATTAAGCAAAGATCTCTCAAATATTAAAATAATCATGTTGTAACATCGTTGTTGTAACGCGTAATAAATGAAAATAATAAAATTCTAAAGATAATGAATCTCACTTTCAATAACCGCGATCAATGTTCTCGATTGACACTTTTTAAAAGTGTAAATAATCCTGATAATCGATTCTGGTCGATGAACAATAAAAATTCCCAACGTGCAATTATTCCATTCGCGATAAGCCAACGGAACGGCTTACAACGGCTTATTTTGTACTTCGTAGGTTTAATCATGAAGCAGGAACCAGTGTCTATTAATTGTGGAAATGGCGCGTAGCGAATTCATTTTAATAATACCATCGTTGATTGCCATGCTGCTCGCGAACCACTTGCACAGATTTTAATCGATCTCGAGTTTTATTTTTCCCTCCTTGCTTTCTTTTTTTAATAATAACTTTATTTCGCCGCGAGAAAGCGCCTTCACCGCCATCTTTTATTTCGAAGACGTATATAAAAGTATATATCGCGATGACAAGAATCGCGAAAGATAAGGAATATATAATCTAGCATCTCTCTTCGCAAAACACCAACACTCGAGTTGATTTAAAATGATATCCGCGTATTCAGCTTCAAGTATCTTCCAGTGGTTTGAAAGATACGCTACATACGCTTATGTGTATTTATATTATTATCAAAAAAAGCTTCCATCATCGAAAGATACCAAAAATCAAAAACACTCTACGTTATTTTTATATAGATACCCTAGATTACACGTTCCGTTCGCAAGTCAATTCTTAATCTTACAAAAATACGTAGAAACCGGCGATCATCGAAGATTCCAACCTAACAACGAGTACGAGAAGCAGCGTGTCTGAGAACAAGTTGGTGGAAAGGAGGGAGAAAACTTGGCTGTCGACAACTCACCGAAACGTTAACGTTGTCAACGGTCTGTAACTCTTGTGGCTGTTAACGTCGCGCATAGGCGTGCCCCAAAAATCGTTGTTCAGGAGGCTGGTCAAAGGGGTTTGAGCGAGCACGTCCTTGTTCCTCACCACCGCGGGTATATCGTCGTGCACGAAATCACCACCTAACGCGTTCAAGTAACAGGCGACAGCGACCAAAGCGACCGTCGCGTAAATACACCACACGGGCGGTTCGTTCCCCTCCGAGTCGTTGCATCCGCCACGGCCGACCATCCTTCTGCTGCTCTGGCAGCAGCACCCGTTATTGCGTCGTCTCATGATTCACAGTTCGCGGAAACCGGCGCGCGAAAACCGGTCAAACGTTCCTCCGCGGTCGGCGGGGATGAAGACCGCACTTCTCATGGAACCCGCTTCTCCTCTCATACGTTATCGCTATCTGCCGCGCCGATAAATCCTCGTCGAGCGTGGCCACTGTTCACCGTGGCGCGATTCGATCGATGATCGCATCTCAAACACCGCGATGACCACGACAACGACCGCATCCACCGGCCTTTTTCCCTTCCCCTCCCCTCCCCTCCTCTCTCTCTCCCGCTCTCCCCTCCCGCGTAGAGGCGTGAAACTCGAAAGCAAATATATTCCCTCGCCGCCAGGAGCGTGCGTCCGCTGTTTACAGTGCTCACAGTAACGACGACCGTTCCACGGAATTTCGAACTGGATGAACGTTTCCCGAAACGATCTCGTTCATCCTCGGTCTCGTTCTCGATCGAAAGGAACGCAAAGGGAAAATTCGAGGCGCGCGAGTCACTTAGTTAGTTTCTTCGCTGTTCCACCGAATTCCCGAATGCCACTTTGAGCATTCGTGACGAGGTTGATAAATGAATGCGGACGTACGTTATTTATACCGGCCGGCCACGTCCAATGTGTCCGCTCTAAAGAGAAACGGGTTTCGCGCAACTCGATTGCTCTTCCACGGTTCTAACAGTTCTCATGGCATGGCTCTCGTTCGGTCGAGATTGTCCCCGCGGGAGAGCGTTCTTCCACTTTTCAACCCCTCGCTCACCATGCGTTCCAACAGCTCGTCACGGGTATCCACGTCGCGCAAACGACTCGATCCGACGAAACTGCCGATGCCGGAACTGCCGCGATACACCATTCCAGCGAACAAAGACGGCGAAACGAACTCGCGTCGATCGGAAAAAAGGAAACGAGACGAACGAACGTGTTCTCACTAAGCGTTTTTCGCGTTTATAATTCTCATCGTGGGACACACTGGCACTCCTTTCCACAGTATCCACTTTGTTCGACGAGGATTCGATGCTTGTTAACGAGATAAAAATCACTTGCTGGTCGATTATTACTTGGTACTTACACGCACTCCACTTAACCGATCGAATCGCGATACAACACCAAGAGGTATTCCACATCGAACGATACGGTTTCCTTTAATTTCTCTCTCACAGCCAATCGACGGATCCTATTCTCTTTCCGAACGTGTCGTCGTGAGATCAAAGAGAAGCATCGGTAAAAGGCGGATGCACACACGAGAAAACGGGTGTACGACCCAGATACACGGCATCCTGGCCGGGACGACACCTCTATCGCCACGACTTTCCCGTGCATATAGATCTATACAAGCGATGGTATCTGGCGCACCGAATCCCCCGCAATGACGCCCCTCTTCCTTTTCTTTTTTCTGACCCTTCACGCCTCTCAATTCCTCCTCCTTTCACCTTCCTTCTCCCTACAGGAGGCTGTTTACCCCCCACGAAATTTCAGATCGTCGAATCTCACCCCCTTTTACACTTCGATCCTCGCACTGTCCCCACACGATACACCCCTCGGTTGGAACGAATCCTTCCACTCGAGACACGCTCCCTACTACTCCACGCGCGAGTGCCAGTTGACGAATCGTCCACCACCTCCCTTCCCCCTCCACGATCCTCCACTATCCCCTCGTGTCCCGCACGACGACGAACCGTTTACGCCGTCCGAGGAGGCAGCGTTACAACAGGTTGATGCATTTGACGGATGAACGAGAGGAGAAACGCGCGCATACGTTACGAGCATACGGGCGACCAAGTACAACAGACCTAGAAAATTTCGTCGTTCTTGGCCCCGGATCGTTATCTCGATCGTTCGCGGGGGACGATCCGGATCGATCGAGATCGATGTCGAGAACTGCACATCACGAAGAACGGTACACGCGCGTAATGGGAAACAACGCACTCCGCGCCATTCGAACGAACCGATCAACCCCTTCTTTCGAGTCGAATTCGAGCGGGTCGTCGCGACGACGATAAGCGCAAGACTAAAGAACGACGGCATCCGCCCGGTTATATACCCGGCGCACTCTGACCCGCAAAGCCGCGCCCGCGCATCAGCCACCCCGGGGCCTTTTCCCTCTTGCCTTCCACGATGTCTCTCTCTCTCTCTCTCTCTGTTTCTCCCTTTTCTCGGCCAGCTTTCGTTGCCCTCGTCGCGTGCTCGCTCTCGCGTCGCGAGCCTCGTGTTTGTTTACTTGCATCTTTTCCCGAAATCTCACATTGAAATCGAGTAGTAGAATTTGAAGAGCCACCAGGTGGGTGGTGAGTAACGCCAATAATGGACTGGAAGTTTCTCCTTGTTTTCTTCGGTGTGTATAGATTTAGAGTTTGTAAGAGCGGAGGAATTGGTTAAGTTTCGAAAGGAAGGATGAAAGGAAGATTAAGATATATATTCTTGGTGGTTGTGACTATGCTGTGTCGTTATTTGAGTCATCGATGGAACGATGTTAAATGGATTAAATTTTTATGGGGGAAGAAATGGAGCCTTTGGATATAGAGATTTGTTTTTCATTTCTTATAAAGAGTGTAATGTCTTGTAGATTTTTGTACGTTGAAATTTTCCATAAATGACTGGCATTATGTGTGATGGATATAATAGAGAAACAAAGTTGATAGGTAATAATGCTTGGATGATAATAATAGTGATGAAAAATTGATCCAGTGTGGAGCGATGAACCGTAATGCTCAAGGGTGTTTAAATCGTTCGGAATTATAAGTTAGTTTTTTTTTTTTTTTCAACTGCACGAATCGATTTTGCCACAGCAAATATGAATTAATGAATATTAAATTTCCCACTTTGTAAACTTTTATAGAAATAATAATAAGCCCGAAATAATATTTTGATGGTATAAAATAATGAAATGTAAAATTTAATAATTTAATTTAATACGTTTGAGGTTAGAACTTAACTTTTGTTGTACAAAAAAAAATTAACAACGCAAAGTTGCACAAATATGTTTCTCCTATGTTGTAAAAATTTTAAATAAATATATTTATACGTATAAATTTTTTTCTGTCACGACATGTTTCATCTATAAATCGTATAAAAAAACATACCATCGTTAGAATACATAATGATATTTGTGCAAACTTGTATATGATTTTCAATATTTACAATCGAATTTTATATTTCATTTCGTATAAGAGAGAAATTTTTAAAATTTATCTGTAAAATATAATTTTAGTAGAAAAGTATTTTGTATATCTTAGTTAGAAATCATAAAAAAAATTCTGTCGAAACAATGATCATTTTAATCCTTACACAATAGTAACACTTTTTTTCTTTTTTTTTAAATTTTAACGAGATACATTCCATTTTTCTCACTTGGTTTTCTTTAACCGTATATTTTAAATATTGCTACATTTTTCTGAATATAGTATATCCAGATGTATCATCATCATTGCTCTTTTTCCTTGGTAATCTGACGCACAATTTACCTTAATTACGATTCTGAAAATCTCCGTTTCTCGTTTCACTTACGACTGCTCTCATTCGTTTCGTATTTTTCAAATTTCTATCTAAAATTAAGTTTATAATGTTATCAATTATATCTATACAGTCCGATAACTTGTTTTTAATCTTCCAATTTAAACTACTTATTCCTTATTCCTTTTGTATAAAATGGAATAAAACGAGCAAATACAAACGTACAATACAAAACTTCAATGAACATTATACAATTTAAAAATACAATACTAACTATTAACAATCAAGTAATATTAAACAACTGTTTTACTAGCTTGTTTAACTTTGATTTAATTAATATTCACATTTCACATCCTCGAGCTTCCTTCAATTTAAATATGTGGTCATCGAAACCAAAATTTAACCGGACAAAATGATTAGAGGTAGATAATCGAGTTCTTCTTCTTAAATATCGCATCGAGGATTACGAGGATTAAACGGAAAAGCAGAATCGATGATACTCGAATCAGTAAAGGTAATGGGGATTCAAGCTCGTTATGAGAACGATGATGCGATAAAGTGGTCGTTGCTGCATAACAAAGTGTTACACGATCGAGAACACGTTTCATCGGTGGTTCGTTTCCGCGACATTCTTTCCCTATCGATCGGTTCGTGGAAACCATTTGAACAGCGTTCAAATACGCTTAAAAAGTCGAATTAACGATAAACGTTGGACAGCTGTAATCGTTACCACACGGGCGACATCGTAAAAACGATACCAGGTTGTAAAGAAAGAACATGGGAACGTTGTGGGGGAAGAAAAGAGGCGCAAAGTGGATCGATATACCGGTTTTTCGACGCCACGCGTCGTCGTTCCACGCCGCAGAAAAATAAGCTTCGATCGATCATGGAATTTCGGCCTGTCGAATGTACAACGTTTTATCATCACAACGATTTGCCGAGCCAAACATCGGCGCCGATCCGCGACGATATTGCTCGCGTCGACGGTCGATCTTTTAATCTTGCGTACACGCGGCGTGCATGTAACTAAATAACCGTGCGATCTCCGTCATGAAAAATCGGGGAAATTAATGCAACGTTTCGGATTCCATTCCATCGCGATGGAGATGATGATAATCCGTTTTGACGAACTGGTGACGTGGATTTTTGAAAATTTGAAACGAAAATTGGAATTCTTCGTATTCGAAGAATTATAATGCTATTTATTTGTTGACTTTTCGCCAATTCGAACGATCATCGAAAGAAATAAGATTTAATTTACAATTATATTTACGTAATTCTAAAGATATTGATTATCAGATTGTGGATTTTTCTAGAATTAAAATATAGTAAAAACAGTATATTATATTATGTAAATTGTGCATCTGGATTTTATATTTGTCGATGCTCTCGTGAATTTCGATGATTTTTTTAAATAAATTACAAAAGTTTGAACATTTTTTTGTACACATATAATCGGTTTTAATTTTAATTTTTGAAATATTACAATCAAAGATCCTGTATTTATGCAAATTAAAACATACGTAATGTAAAACATATTATTTTATGAAAATTTCGCTGGATATTAATTAACTTTCGATTTTAAACAAGATCTTTAAAAAAATCTAGATCGATCAACCTTCGATTATTTTATGTTCCAATCATAATATCCAGAGACAAATAGATTTATTATTTCCATTATCGATCAACAGCAATATTACCTAACCTAAAAATTAAAACACCAATTATCACCAAATACTGTGCTCTCCACCAAGTTGCGTGTACGATTCTGCGAAAGATCACAGCATTGAACAATGAGAATTCATCAAAACATCGAA